CTCTACAACACGCTTCCTTCTATCTCCATACACACACTCTTAATGTCCTCTCTCTACAACACGCTTCCTTCTATCTCCATACACACACTTTGAATGTCCTCTCTCTACAACACGCTTCCTTCTATCTCCATACACACACTTTGAATGTCCTCTCTCTACAACACGCTTCCTTCTATCTCCATACACACACTCTTAATGTCCTCTCTCTACAACACGCTTCCTTCTATCTCCATACACACACTCTTAATGTCCTCTCTCTACAACACGCTTCCTTCTATCTCCATACACACACTTTGAATGTCCTCTCTCTACAACACGCTTCCTTCTATCTCCATACACACACTCTTAATGTCCTCTCTCTACAACACGCTTCCTTCTATCTCCATACACACACTCTTAATGTCCTCTCTCTACAACACGCTTCCTTCTATCTCCATACACACACTTTGAATGTCCTCTCTCTACAACACGCTTCCTTCTATCTCCATACACACACTCTTAATGTCCTCTCTCTACAACACGCTTCCTTCTATCTCCATACACACACTTTGAATGTCCTCTCTCTACAACACGCTTCCTTCTATCTCCATACACACACTTTGAATGTCCTCTCTATACAACACGCTTCCTTCTATCTCCATACACACACTTTGAATGTCCTCTCTATACAACACGCTTCCTTCTATCTCCATACACACACTTTGAATGTCCTCTCTCTACAACACGCTTCCTTCTATCTCCATACACACACTTTGAATGTCCTCTCTCTACAACACGCTTCCTTCTATCTCCATACACACACTTTGAATGTCCTCTCTCTACAACACGCTTCCTTCTATCTCCATACACACACTTTGAATGTCCTCTCTCTACAACACGCTTCCTTCTATCTCCATACACACACTCTTAATGTCCTCTCTCTACAACACGCTTCCTTCTATCTCCATACACACACTTTGAATGTCCTCTCTCTACAACACGCTTCCTTCTATCTCCATACACACACTCTTAATGTCCTCTCTCTACAACACGCTTCCTTCTATCTCCATACACACACTTTGAATGTCCTCTCTCTACAACACGCTTCCTTCTATCTCCATACACACACTCTTAATGTCCTCTCTCTACAACACGCTTCCTTCTATCTCCATACACACACTTTGAATGTCCTCTCTCTACAACACGCTTCCTTCTATCTCCATACACACACTTTGAATGTCCTCTCTCTACAACACGCTTCCTTCTATCTCCATACACACACTCTTAATGTCCTCTCTCTACAACACGCTTCCTTCTATCTCCATACACACACTCTTAATGTCCTCTCTCTACAACACGCTTCCTTCTATCTCCATACACACACTTTGAATGTCCTCTCTCTACAACACGCTTCCTTCTATCTCCATACACACACTTTGAATGTCCTCTCTCTACAACACGCTTCCTTCTATCTCCATACACACACTTTGAATGTCCTCTCTCTACAACACGCTTCCTTCTATCTCCATACACACACTCTTAATGTCCTCTCTCTACAACACGCTTCCTTCTATCTCCATACACACACTCTTAATGTCCTCTCTCTACAACACGCTTCCTTCTATCTCCATACACATACTTTGAATGTCCTCTCTCTACAACACGCTTCCTTCTATCTCCATACACACACTCTTAATGTCCTCTCTCTACAACACGCTTCCTTCTATCTCCATACACACACTTTGAATGTCCTCTCTCTACAACACGCTTCCTTCTATCTCCATACACACACTCTTAATGTCCTCTCTCTACAACACGCTTCCTTCTATCTCCATACACACACTTTGAATGTCCTCTCTCTACAACACGCTTCCTTCTATCTCCATACACACACTCTTAATGTCCTCTCTCTACAACACGCTTCCTTCTATCTCCATACACACACTTTGAATGTCCTCTCTCTACAACACGCTTCCTTCTATCTCCATACACACACTTTGAATGTCCTCTCTCTACAACACGCTTCCTTCTATCTCCATACACACACTCTTAATGTCCTCTCTCTACAACACGCTTCCTTCTATCTCCATACACACACTCTTAATGTCCTCTCTCTACAACACGCTTCCTTCTATCTCCATACACACACTCTTAATGTCCTCTCTCTACAACACGCTTCCTTCTATCTCCATACACACACTCTTAATGTCCTCTCTCTACAACACGCTTCCTTCTATCTCCATACACACACTTTGAATGTCCTCTCTCTACAACACGCTTCCTTCTATCTCCATACACACACTCTTAATGTCCTCTCTCTACAACACGCTTCCTTCTATCTCCATACACACACTTTGAATGTCCTCTCTCTACAACACGCTTCCTTCTATCTCCATACACACACTTTGAATGTCCTCTCTCTACAACACGCTTCCTTCTATCTCCATACACACACTTTGAATGTCCTCTCTCTACAACACGCTTCCTTCTATCTCCATACACACACTCTTAATGTCCTCTCTCTACAACACGCTTCCTTCTATCTCCATACACACACTTTGAATGTCCTCTCTCTACAACACGCTTCCTTCTATCTCCATACACACACTCTTAATGTCCTCTCTCTACAACACGCTTCCTTCTATCTCCATACACACACTTTGAATGTCCTCTCTCTACAACACGCTTCCTTCTATCTCCATACACACACTCTTAATGTCCTCTCTCTACAACACGCTTCCTTCTATCTCCATACACACACTTTGAATGTCCTCTCTCTACAACACGCTTCCTTCTATCTCCATACACACACTCTTAATGTCCTCTCTCTACAACACGCTTCCTTCTATCTCCATACACACACTTTGAATGTCCTCTCTCTACAACACGCTTCCTTCTATCTCCATACACACACTCTTAATGTCCTCTCTCTACAACACGCTTCCTTCTATCTCCATACACACACTCTTAATGTCCTCTCTCTACAACACGCTTCCTTCTATCTCCATACACACACTCTTAATGTCCTCTCTCTACAACACGCTTCCTTCTATCTCCATACACACACTTTGAATGTCCTCTCTCTACAACACGCTTCCTTCTATCTCCATACACACACTCTTAATGTCCTCTCTCTACAACACGCTTCCTTCTATCTCCATACACACACTTTGAATGTCCTCTCTCTACAACACGCTTCCTTCTATCTCCATACACACACTCTTAATGTCCTCTCTCTACAACACGCTTCCTTCTATCTCCATACACACACTCTTAATGTCCTCTCTCTACAACACGCTTCCTTCTATCTCCATACACACACTCTTAATGTCCTCTCTCTACAACACGCTTCCTTCTATCTCCATACACACACCCTGGATGTCCTCTTGAATGGCGTGGTGATGTTTCTCGTGGTTAATTTAAGTATTCGGCGAGTTCATACAAGGCGTAGCAATGGGGGGGGGGGGGGGCAGGGGGGACATATGTCTCCGGGCGCCGACCTTAGGGGCGCCAAATTGGGTTGTAAAAACAATTTAAAATGTCATTTTAGCTGCATCTTTGCAGTTTGGGGGGTGGGGGTGCAAATCGAAAAGCTGAGGAGGGGAGGGTGGTGCAAATCGAAAGTTTGCTCCCGAGGGGGGCGCCAAATTGAAAGTTTGTCCCCGGGTGCCGGGAAGGGTCGCTACGCCTCTGATACAAAGTGCCAACTTTTCACTTTATTATGAGCAAATATAGATGTGTGTTTCCATTGGTTAAAGTAGCTCACTCCGAAAATGTACTCCTCTTTAAGCTACGGTTTTAATCTTCTACAATTAATTAAATAGAATCTTCCATGAACAAAATATGCTCTAAAATGTATAACTTTAATGATGTTAATATTTTTTTTAGGTTAAATTTATAAATAAAACGTGAGTGATCTCCCCTAAACTTTCTCGAATATTCTTACATAAAACAACGGGGGATGGCAACTCGGGATATACTTATTAAACTAGGCCTATATAATAATAAATATCAACAATAAACACTCCCTTTGCTATTAGAATAATTAACTACTCCCTATTTCAAGGTACTTCCTTTTAAATATTATTGTTCTTGTTATAATGACACATTTCACTCTATTTTTGGCTTATTACCTGTCGTCACTGTTTTGAGTAAAATTTACTAGATAGATCTAAAACTAAACCTATTATAGAAGGTGAGTATTCTAAGTATAAAAAGATTGTTAGATCTAGATCTAGATTAGATCTAGATTCTATATGCCATATGCAAAATACAGCTAGTGAAACTAGAAAAAGAGGTAAAACCTTAGTTAGTATAGTAAAGTTTAGCCAGTTTAGCGACGTAAATTCGGCCTAAACTTAAAGTTTAAGTCTTAAACTTAACTACTATTTATTAGATCTAGTCCTATAGGCCTAGTTATTATTATTATAGTAATGAGGGGGAGAGTGAGGTAAATCTCCATTTTAGCGTATTTTATTCGCCCCTTCACGTTCACCTCCGGTTGAGCGTATTTTATTGTAAACACAACCGAAACACACAAGGTTAATAATTTGTAATTTTTTTTTACTATCATGATGCCATTGTTACTTACTTAAATCTAGATCTATATTTATGTGTCATTATTAAGTGACGGTTGTTGTTTTGTTTTTCTTTTACAAAATTAATCAATTATCACATATCTAATTGTAAAAATCATAACATAATCATCTGGTGGAAATAATTTTGGGGTTTTATAAAAAATTTTGTTTAACAATACACACTGATTACTTTAAAAAATCTTGTAATTATAACACGCAAATCAAAACCTTTTCTTGACCAGCAATCAGTATTGAAAATTGTCTGATTCCCTATCCCTACAGTAACCTAACCCTAACCCAAGCTTCAACCCTAACATAACCTAACCCTAACACTAGCGCAGCTATTAAGGTCACTGTGCATGTTCAGAACTATTGAGTTCGTATTTTCTGCCAAAACATATTTTTACGAGTAGACACTTCGTTGTAAATAATTCATGTTTACAGGGCATACAGGTGACTTTTGAAGAAACATTTAACAGCAGCATAGTAGCAGCAACAGCGATGATCTTTATATGCGTGGGTGTAATTATGAGCCTATTCAACAAAAGAGATCCTGTCCCGCAGCTAACTAAGAGATGGAGAGCTATAATTGGAATTGGCGTCATCGCAGTCTTGTGAGTTTTCATTTATTGAATTTATACCTCGGCTTTTAACTTACTAAACCGCATACAAACACTGATGAAATTATAGGCTAGCAGATTTATTTTAATTTTAAAAAAAAAACTTTAATTCTGCTTAAATAAGTTTGCTCTGGAGTTGAACTTTACAAATTTACTCTATAACTGGGATAGTTATTACTTATATTATTGTATTAAAAATATAAATGATATTTAAAAAACAAATTACACAGTAGTGTTGTTTATACTTTTTTTGTGTGTTTATTGGTAAAGGTAAAAAAGAAAAAGCCCGGGGAGTAGTTGTGTTTTTAACCGGTTGATAAAAATGGATTTTTATTTCATTTTATGAGCATACGTGTAAAACTAAATGTCAGCTTAAAATCGAAATATTAAGATGTCTAAGTGAGTATACATGTCAGCAGCGTAGTTCAAGTGTTTCAAGAGAAAGTTACATAAGGAAATTTAATCAAATACTTTTCAAAATACTTATCAAATACTTATCTTTACCAACCCACCTGAATTTTTTACAACGTATAGCCGTAACTTTTCTTTTAAATCAGGTCACAAACTAAAAGACTAGTTTGAAAAGGACAATAAGACACCATCATTCATGTAGATTTCTTTTCGAAGTGAAAATAATTAGCCTTGGAAGCAGTGGTGTAGCCAGGATTATCTATGTCATTGTATGTCATTGCTTCGCTATGATGTAAAATAAATTGAAAGTAGTACTCTGGAGAAAAAACACACAATGTAGGCCGCCAAAACAAAACAATTTATCATTCTAACCAAAAAACAAACAAAATATACACACAATAAACGCAACACAATCTGTTTTGTAATCCTTGTAAAAAAACAATTTGACATAATGATTCCTAGAATATTAAGACAAACAAACTAGGGGAAATAATCACTCTCTTAATATCAATTTGTATTTCTACAAATTTAATTGTAAATGTCAAAACAGGTCAATAATTACTTTAGTATGTTGCATAAAAGCTTAATTTTATTCGTTTTTACAAAAATATGTTGTCTACAATCAGAATTAAATATAATGTCATCATAAATGCTAAAATCTTACAGCATCATGTAAGTTTATAAATCAGAGTTGGTATAAAACTACTCTTTTCAATTATATGTTAAAACTAAATCTAATAGGTGGAACATTTTAAATAATTGCCCACATGTATCTAAAACATAGTCTTACAGTTTAGATCACACATTTTTTAATTAGCTACTGATTTTTGTATTCTTTAAAGTTCCTATATTTTTCTATGTGACATAAGTAAGCTGGGTTTAGATATATACCTACAAACTTTCATCCGTCTCGTATTCTCGCTGGATGCAAAAAGGCAGAAGTCAAAATCAAGTTGGTTCATTACCTAACTATCTTTTCTGCTGGAAAAGCACAAACAGTATTTATTTTGTTTTATTTCTCAAACTGTGTTCACTGTTTTTTAGTGTTTGCACCTGCATGTTGTTTTATTGCAACGAAAACATTACAAATGCAGTGCGAACATCTGCTAACCAACTTGCTCAACCTCCTTGCTCGAACTCAACATTCCATGTAAGTGTTATTAATGTACACCCTGCTTATATGAATATAATTTATTTAATTTAAACATTTAAATCTATATCTAAAAATAATACACTGGATCATAATATAGAAATTTTAATATCCACCTAAAAAGTTTCTAAATAATATTTTGAAATATTATTCACCAAACTGGTAATGCTGTTTAAAATTATAGATTATTTTGACTGTCAATAAAAAGCTTTGTCCAATATATGAATTATTACAGAAAATATAAGTTTTTCTTTCAACTTTAGTTTTAATATTTTGAAGTGCACGTACACTAGGAAACTATGTTAATTCCTTAGTCATAAGGCGTTAGAGTAACCTTCATTTTTAAACAAACTTTGGGATATGTCAGTGACATAGGTTTTTAATTACTCCCAATTCCAACTATTTGCCCTAATTGTCATTGACTGTGAGAATTTGGATGCTAAAATACTTTTGTACATAAATTCTTCAAAAGTTATCTGATTAATCTATGAATAGGATAAAGCAGGACACTAAGAGCCCTGTGGTATAAGGACCCAGTAAGCACCCCACCCCTATAAAACTACTAATATACTTCTGATGTACCAACTACTGCTGTTCTTTAATAACAGAGAAGCAGAGGATTCATCTATATATATAATTCTCTTCTGGGAGCCTTTAGAAAACAAGCTGCAAGCGCGCCTTACAGTCCCCTCTCTTCCTCTCTATCGCTACCACCCCCCACCCCAACATGGCCTGGTGAGCTGGGGTCACGCTGTTTACATTTTACAATCATAGAGACGGGTTTGGTGACGGCTATTAGGGGCAGATAATTTAGTTTGAAACGATTTTAAACTTAGAGGAGGTAACTAAGAGGAGGCTGCTTTCACCTGGCGGGGGGGGGGGGGGGGGGGGGGGGGGAGGGTTTTTTTTAGTGTTTTTAAGCAAATTTTTTCAGTTGCATCATTGGTACTGTCGAATTCACAAATTATAAATTACTGAAAAGTGGAAAAAAAAAACCAACTAAATAGCGGCGTATGATACGCAGCGGGTCGGCTCGTTTTATGTAATTTATGACCCACTTGGCCCAGCAGGGAGAAGATTAGACAGGAGTTAATCCCACTGCTCTTTCCCCAAATTTCTCATATCCATAAAACCATTTTTTAAAAACTTTTTTCCAAATTGACATAACTTAGGAAACTTCACTTTTTAATAAAACAGAGTTTTCCAAGACCATTCTTTCTTCCTGTATTAAAGCATTGGTTAGAAAAATAATTGGATCAGTAAAAATCTTTAAAAATGCACAGACTCTAAAAAGTCTGGCTCTTAGTGCCCTTCTTTACCCATATTTTAATTTCCAGATTGACATGCAGGCTAACTGTCAACAGCTAATTAATACTGAAGTTCAAGTGATACAAGGCATCAAACCAACCTCAGGTAAATGTCAAGTTTTGTTTCATCTTTTTTTTATAATTAAAATCTTTTCTCAGCCCACTCTCTTGTATAGTCTATAATTCATGTCTATCTTGTAGAATGAATCCGTGCTTACTAATGTCCTTTATTGGTAACTCATTACTAAACAGTACAAATCTCCCGTAGTTATCTTTAAAAATTTAACCAAACACTTCTATTGCATTTATAATATTGTTATATTTTTGGATAACTCTTTTTCGTTTTATTTTAACACTTAATCAATTGAACGCATTTAAAAGAATTATTTATGTAACTTGATTTAAGAGCCCAGCACTAAAAGTATACTTATAACTTTTTTGTTTTAAATACAAAGAATGATCATTTATTCAGATCGTATTTGACAATATGGATCATCCGTTTTTGATTTTAGCTACCCATCATCTAGAGTTAAGAAAAAAAAAAGAGTTTTTTGAAGTATTAATATAATTTTTCCTCATCATTACAAACCAAAAACGCATGTAAAGTATTAAACACCTTATGTATGCCAAGAATGGCTATTCTACTATTTACACTGATGTAAATTTTCCGCTTTATTCTGGAAATCTGCTTTTTGCTTATTTGAAAAATTCTTTCGCAGAAAAAAAACATTTTTAAAAAAAATCCTTAATAATCTGCCGCTGATCTATTTTTCCATCTTGTCAAAAATAAAGAGGCAGATTTGTTTGGTTAAACTAAAAGTTTTCCATGATGTTCTTAATTTCCTACTAAATAAACTTGGAGTGATCTCCCCTAAACTTTCTCAAATATTCTTATACTTATATAAAACAACAGGGGATTCCAACTCGGGATATAGACATGATTTTTAATCCATTTTTAATTACTTTAATTTTTTAAAATAGAATAGGATCTTGTAGAAAAAAGAATTGCACACCAAGTGAATGCAAAAGAAAATGTGCATAATAGTACGGGATATTATTAGTACTTTATAAATTCACATGCATTTTATGAAAAATCGGAAATAGCTTAAATTACTACTTCCGGTCAAAGGAAATTACTCAAAATTTGAAAGAAGGTAGAGAATTAGGTCTTTTACTTACATGTGAAATTTCATTTATCTATCTGAAATAGTACTCAAGTTATAGGCTTTTGAAAAATTGAAAGTAGAAAAAGTTCAACTTCCGGTTATCGGAAATCGCTGAAATGTTAAAATGGATCTACAATTTTGATATAATACTTATATATGAAATTTCATCAACCTAGCTGTAAAGGTACTCAAGTTATCGTGTTTACAGACACATACACACACACACAGACATACAGACAAGATTACAAAATTATGTTTTTCCAACACAATTACAAGACTTTCTCTATACCTTGTATATACGAGAAAGTAAAAAGACGTCTGTTTAGTTATTTTACGCCATTTTTCTTCCTAACACGAGCACAACTTTACACGGTACTAGTTCATGTCTTTCGGGAGAGGGGGGGGGGGGTTTATGTTCGTCTACAACGTGTAAATTTACTGTGGCCGTGCAAATGTGTAACGAGTGATCGGGCCTGACATTTCGACTCGATTTTACCCACTATTTTTCATAAAGCTAGTCTGACGTTGCATGAAAAAAAAACGTCTGTTTGTCCTTACAATTCCTTACTATTCCAAATATATCTCACTAGATGAGTTGACACAGTACGAGCTTCTGTTTTTAAATGAAACATGGCAGAGATCTGGGTTGGAACAGCTCAACCGCACTCTGAGTCAACTTATCACAGGTAAAACACATTATTTTACTTTATTTATATCAGTTTGTAGTGGTAATACACATTTTTTAAGCTGACAGTTTCTTGCTGATTTTACTTCTCTTTTTAATGATGTTTATGTAAAATGAACGGACTGAGAATGAAATTGAATTATAAAATAAAGAAATCAGTATATATATATATATATATATATATATATATATATATATATATATATATATATATATATATATATATATAATATATATATATATATACTAGCGTACCTGTCCCCGCGCATTGCCGTGGGAATAGAAGCAGGGTTTCATCCATACGTTACCAATCCTATATTCTTAGATGCATAACCTTGTTTTCTAAAAGTGAGTTATTTAAATGCAAACAATGCCTGCGCTTGGATCATAAATATCGGGACACGGGTTTACCTACACTACCGCATGAAAACCTTGAGTGTACATTAATCACTCACCGAAATAATGAGGTAGAACACACTTCGGTGACCACCCATGTGTCAGGGATGTATAGGAGCGCTCCCAGGAGCCCCCTCCCCCCCAATTACACTACCGCATTGGCGCGCGCACGGCCCCTTAAAACTAACAGGCGCCATCGTGCTCATAGGATACCCCAGAGTACCAAATAGCATCATGACTTCGTCATTGGCTAAAGTGACACATTTTCTTTAACACGTAAAAAAAATGATTTGACTTGTTTTAAACATCAGTGTTACTGATGCAATATGTTAGCGTTACTTATGGTCTATTATTAGATGCTCGATCTCAATTTCTGATTGGATTGTCTAAAAATAGATGCTAATTGCATCATTCCCAAAGTGACGAAATGTTTGGATTTTTTACGGACAAAAAGAAACATCCCATTTAATAATCTAACCTTGGTTAATTTTTCTGATTATTAAAATAAAACGTATTACATGGCCCTCAGCACCCCAGGTGAGCCTTTGGGGGCCGAAACTGTTTGCAGCCGAATTGCACCCTACCAGGGCGCCGGCAGACATGCCTGATTCAATTTACACTGTCTATCACACTGTTTAGACTGAACGTAGTCGCAGCCCTTGTGAAATTAAAAAAAATATTTTTTGCAGAACCCTTCAAGGTAGTGTTCTAATCAACTTCCCAAAGTCTCATGGCTATCAGATGAACGGTGTCAAACCAAAATCGGCTCTAATTTTTATATACTGTATATAGAGAAAAATTGCGCCCCCGTGGTGCTGCCCTTGTGAAATTAAAATGATTTTTTTTACAGAACCCTTCCCCAGTATGTTCTAATGAACTCACCAAAGTTTGACTTTTATTTGTATATACCGTATATAGAAAAAAATCGCATCCTCACGTGGCGCTGCTAATGCGAACTTAAAAATGATATTTTACAGTAACCTTCCCCAGAGTGTTCTAATCAACTCCCTAAAGGCTCATGGCAATCGAATGTATGGTGTTAAACCAAAATTGAATTTTATTTTTATATTCTGTATATAGAGAAAAAACCAATTGCGCCCTGCTGGGGCGCCACCCCTGCGAATTTGAAATTTTTTTCCCCGCAGAAACCTCCCCAGGAATATTCTCAACAACTTCCCAAAGTTTCACGGCAATGTAATGAGAGGGGTAGTAATGCATAAAAGACAAACACACAAACATACATTGCTTTTTATATATAGAGATATATATTTTTGTTTTTTTTATTATTTTTCCTGTTTGGTGCGAATCTGTGTGTGGATGTGCAACTGGACAGTGGCTACGGGGTTTCACTTCTGGTCGAGCTACTGTATATAAGGTCGAGTGGCCGCTGGGGTTGTTCCTTTTTATCCTGTAGACAGAATGTAGATCCTATCAGAGCGGATCAGTCGCGGTGGGCGCTTGGCACACCACATTCGTAGAGGTTGCATTTGCAGCTTGGTTGGGTGTTTGGTTAATGTTTGATTAGATGTTTGTTTAGTATGTTTTGCTTGTTTGACCAGTGTGTTTGCCGTGTTTATGTTATTGTTAGTATTTTATATTGTCTTTCAGTATGATCCTCTCTGATGTTTTCATGACGTTTGTTATCGGTGATTTAGGTACTCTTTGTTGAGGCGTAGTGTTAAATTTGTGTTTACGTCAGTTTTGTGCGCATGTTTAAAAAATTCTCGATTGCCATGGCGGATGAGAATGGTTATCTGCAGTGTTTTTTTCAGACTTTTTCTCCAGAGGGGCACAATTTTCAGTTTGGGACGACTAAAATTTGGGGGGGGGGGGGGGGGGGCGGACACTGTTAAAAGTATATATTCTCATATATAACTTCCATTTCATTCAGGGGGAGGGGCGGTAGACTTTCTTCAGGGGGGGGGGGGCTCTGACCCTCCAGAAAAGATGCCTGGATGAAACTCTGGTCGTTCGTTCATAAACCTAGACAATTCGAGTCTAAAATATTCCATTGAAAGTTGTGTGTTTTAATTTTATGTTCTTGAGTTCTGTCAGATAGTTTGGTTAGATGTTATGTAGTATGTTTGGTTATTTTTAGTCTGTTTTGTTTTGCCACTTTTAGTTTTTTAAAATTTAAATAAATTTTATAAACTGTTAAGCATTTTTTTTTTGTTTTATTTTAGTTTATTAATAGTTTATTTATATAAGTCTAGAAATGTAGAATAGTAACCCATGTAAGGGCTTACATATATATATATATATATATATATATATATATATATATATATATATATATATATATATATATATATATATATATAAAAGTATGTTTGTTTGCGGGTTTGTCCTTAATGCATTACTACGCCTTACATCCCACCTCAATGAAATTTTGGGGAGGTTATGAGAATAGGTAACGATATATTTCTGCAAAAAAAAATTAAATGTATCCTATGAGCACTAATGGCGCCTTCTTATTTTTAAAGAGCTTCCTACATTTATCGATGATTAAACAGGTGTAAGCGGTAATGTAACCTTGTGTTCTCAAGAGCATCCGTCTACCAGCCTGACACATTGGCGGTCGCCCAAGAGCGTTCTACCGCCATGGGGCGTGCTGGACTGTAGTGTTAGCTAACAAATGCACCATCATATACGATCCAAGAAATAAAGCTCAGACATTGATTATATTTAAATATCTCATGGTATGAAAAAAAAAGGTCACACTTCTTCATAAATAGGATTGGTAACATAATCGCGAAACCCTCTTAAAATACTATGTAAGACTATCTTTTGAGACTGCTGAGACGCGTGGGGACAGGCATGCTAGTTCTTGTATATTGGCCCACCTTAATAGTTTATTAGCAAACTTGTTAAGCATGAACATATTTGACAGATGGAACAATTGTTTTTGTGAATCTGCATAAACAAGCCGATCAACTAAGAAAGGATAATCTAAACTTTCTAAGTAGTATCAGAACATTCGATGAAGTTTTAGACAGATTTAACTTCTCTTGTTTTGGAGAAAGCCCAATTTCTACAGATGTGAGTGTATTTTAGAAAAATAAAAACATTTCAAAGTGATTTTAATTGCTTTTTTATACTTAATTAGTTTCTTGTTAAATAAGTGTGTTAAGAAAAGGATGGAAATTAAATGTTCTCCTTTTGTATAAATAACCAACATTTTTATTTTAGCTAATAGATAACACAGATGACATCCAACTGATCGTAACTAAATTTGGAATCGGTTTACAGGACTTAAAATCGGTATGAAATCTTACAATTTATTAGAAGCTTTATCTACATCTTTTATGTGATGCATTTGTAGGCCTATATCATTATCAAACACTACGTTTAATGTTTCTGAAATCAGATCCACTAATCGAATGCTGTTATTCATGTGGTTATTGTATTTTACATTTTTAAATAAATCAACTGAAGTTTATTATGTAATTTTCTTTTTACATTTAATTTTAATACATATTTTTATCACAAATTCACTTTTGTTTTCTGTATTGAAATACCACTTTCCTTTTTAAATTTTTCAATATTTTATTTTTTACTTTTAAATATTTTGGTTGTATTGCTACTTGTGTTGAAGTTTGTTTGAAGTTAAATTTAATTGAGATTCTATTAAATTTTGAGAATTAACCCTCAACTCTACCTTAATTTTCAGATACAAATTAATTTAGAAGTTATCTATAAAATGATCAAGATGCAATCTCATGATATCCTCCAAGGTATGCATTCCAAATATATATTTTAACTTCTTCATAATTCACATTCACTTTAGATCATTGTTGCTACAAGACATGAAATAAAAAAGTTGATGCATTAGGAGGCATCTCTCAGCGTGTAGGTCTCAGATCAACAAAGAAAACACAGAAGCAATGAGAATCAACAATAACGAGGAGGCTCCAGTGACAATAGATGGAAGACATGTAAATGATGTGGAAGATTTTGTCTACCTTGGCAGCAAGATCAGCAAATCGGGAGGCACAGAGGAGAGCTAGAATTAATTTAGCCCACTGCACTTTCATAGTTCTGTGACCATATGGAAAAATTCTGCCATCTCAAACACAACAAAAATTAGGATACTCAACTCAAATGTCAAGGCAGTTTTGCTATATGGAGCAGAGACATGGAGAGTCTCCAGGCATGCGCAGCCAAGATACACACCTACATAAACAGATGCCTTAGACCATGGGTTCCCAAACTGGGGGTCGCCAACTTGTAGACTTAACTCTAGCAGTGATTAAAAAAAATATTTAGAAGAATATCTTAAATTTGGCTTTACTAACATCACTGGAAATGGAATAGAGAAGCTACAATACCTACTATGCAAATTCGTTTTCAGTCGTGAGTCTATGAAACCTTCAAAACTAAAACGTCATTTTGAGACAAGTCATTCAGAATACACCAAAAAAGATAGGAGTTCTTTCGTCGGCATGAAGCTAGTTGTAAACGTCAGAGACTTGATCGAACAGGACGTTTTCACAGAGGAAACACAGCATTAGTGCAAGCATCATATGAAATTCGCATTAGAAATTGACAAGCAATAAAACCTCTCACACAATATGAGAAAATCTCATCAAACCCTGCATGTTGAAGATGTTGAAATTAATTCTTGGGGATTCCAGTGCAGTAAAGATGCAACAAATATCTGTGTAATAGTACTATTCTGCAGCTTATAGCAGACATGTCTGTAGATGTTAAAAAAAACAAATTTTGAATAAAATCAAGCTTTCACCATTGTTTGCTTTTCAAGTTGATAAATCAACAGACGCGAGTTCATATTCGTAGTTACTTGTCTTTGTGAAATATATACATTTAGTTGATAGCAAAGAAGAGTTGCTATTTTGTGAAGATATAATGGCGAAAATAAATACGTTTCTTGAAAATGGATGATTAAAAAATGGGAAAACGGCTGTGGGTCAAAATCCGACTTTTAGAAAAAAGTAAAAAAATTAGCTTCCTAATTAAGGAGAATCCACTGCATTATTCATCAGTATGACCTCCCCAGCAAGACTCTTCCGACTCCATTGCTAATAAAAGTCGTAAATTAAATTAAACCTGAAGCGCTAAACATCCGTATGTTTAAAGAGCTGGCTGTCAAAAGGAAATGTTGTGAATCGTGTTTTTGATTTGAAAGATGAAATCATGTTGTTCTTGGAAATGCATGGGGAACAAGACCTTTTGATATACTTTAGCGACAAAGATTGGTTGGAGAGAGTATCTTCCCTAGCAGGTATGTTCAAACATCAACATATGAACGAATATTATCTCTTTTCATGATAATTTAGGGGCATTTTCATCAAAGCTTCAAAATTGCAGAAGAAAAATAAATCTTAGAAATATTGCCATGTTTGAGAAACTCTGCTGTGTGGTAGATGACTCAGATTGTGAGATAAATACAATTTTGAAAGAGGATTCTGGACATCTTGAATCTCTTGAAAACAAACTGCGACCTTATTTCCCTTAGCTGAAAAAAGAATAATCACATTACCCATTCTCTGCTTCCCTTGATGTTGCCAGCATTCACTGTGAATTACAACATAAATTCTTGGATTTGCGGAATGATTCCGAAAACCTACCGTGTTTAATAAAAACCAGCTCACATAATTTTGGTGTATGCAGCATTCATATCCAAACGTGAAATTGATTGCCTTTCGAGTTTTAGTTCCTTTTGTGTCTACATATCTTTGCAAAAATAGAGTTTCAACACTTCTCCGATTGAAATCAAAACAAAGAAATAAATTAAATGTTGAGAATGACATGACGTTGGCTTTAACAAAAACTCAACTATTGAGGCTCGTTAATAGCATGTAATTTCACTCATCGTATTAAAACAGTTATCAAGAATAATTCATGTTGAAAGTCTACTAGAAAATTTTATTTTAGTGCTTATTATTTTCCTTACTAATTTCGACTTTATTTCTATGGGGTCCCGAGTCACTTACTATTTATAAAAGGGGGTCGCCACTCGAAAAAGTTTGGGAACCACTGCCTTAGACAGATTTTGAAATTGAGGTGGCAGGACAAAGTGCCGAACATAGAATTGTGGAGAAAAGTAAGACAGGAGCCTATGACAGTGCAAATAAGAAAAAGGAAGTGGCGCTAGGTGGGACACACGCTGCGACAGGCTCACCAAAATGTTACACGCGAAGCGCTTGAGTGGAAACCCCAGGGAAAACGGACGAGAGGGCTCTCAAGACAGACCTGCCTGAAGTCTTCTCGAAGAACTAAAGCCAACAGGGATGTCTTGGGAGATGACAAAATAAATAGCCAGGGATAGGATTAAATGGAAGGAAATGGTGGAGGCCCTATCTTCCATAAGGAGAAAAAAGGACTAAATCGTGTCAAGTAGATTGTTGTAATTCACTCATTATTATTTTTATATCTCTGCACTAGGCACACTATTTGGTCTAGCACAGGGGTCTCCAAATTACGGCCCGCGGGCCGGATGCGGCCCGCAAGGTCCTCTCAACCGGCCCGCTGAGATCTTTTTGTCCACGGAAAAAATGTCTGTTAGAGGTGGCTTTGCCCAGAAAATTCAAAACAATTTGAAAATGTAGCTTTGGGTGCATACCTTTGCCAACCACGTTGCAGACATAGGTGAAAACATCGTGACCAAATAGCGAAAAATGCAAGCACGTTTCACTATTTTTAATTGCAATGGATGAGTTGCTGGACAGCTGTTTCACCTCTCAACTGCTTGTGTTCATTAGGGGTGTGGATGAAGACATGAACATAACACAAGAGCTGGCTTCCCTACATAATATGTATGGCACTGTTGCCGGAGAGGATATATTCTTAAAGAAAACATTTGCTGATTATAACTTGGACTGGACTAACCTCAGTTACCTGACTGTTGATGGAGAAAAGTAATTAGTGGCATAAAGAAAGGCTTGGTTGGACAAGCGAATGAGAACATATTCTACAACCAATGCTCTTGCACTCTATTATTCATCAGCAAGCTTTGAGCGCTAAATATATGGACATTAGCAGTGTACTGAATCCTGTGGTGAAGATGGCGAATTTAATAAGGTCACATGGGCTCAACCATAGATATAGAATACGTGAAGAATAATTTGATAGCAAACTTGGATCTCGAGTGCGTTGTCGGTCCCCGACAGTGTTTCTTTCAGATTTTTTTCTCAGGAGGGGGGGGGGGGGGCGGCACTTGAAAATTGTATATGTTTCTATATAAATTATATTTTATTGGGGGAAAGGCGGGGCGGTGGACGTTTTTCGGGGGGGGGGGGGGGGGGGGGGCTCCATAAGATATGCCTTGAAGAAACTCTGGCCCCCGAACTGATATTTGATAGTTAAAGCGGCCCTTGGTCTGAAAAGTTTGGAGACCCCTGGTCTAGCATATTGGCATATGAGGGCACTAAAAAGGCATTTCTATGTGTAAAGGGCATTAAAATGACTACCCCTGTAATTGCGCTGTGGGTAGATAAAACCCAATAAAAAAATAAAGAAGTAATAATAAAACTTAAACAAGTACATGCAATTTTAAAATTCTACGTCTGAAAGCTAAAATAATCGGGAAATCTACTGCCATTTTTCTGATAATTTTGGACTAATATAAGTTGATCAGTTATTGTAGTTTTTAAGTGACATTTAAGGACATTGACCATTTGAAATTTTTTATTACCAAGTACTCCTAATTTGATGAACGGAAACAGGAACACAAAAACAATAAAACTTTAAGTGGTCCAATTATGGAACAAGAAAATTTTCTTAGATGACACTTTATTTTTAGAAGTAGCTACACCATTTGCAAGTGACATAACAATTTTTATGAAAGGTGTTTTGTTATATGAAATCAAACCAGATAGGCAAGGCATCAAGATCTTCATGGCCATGTTATACCATTGCAAAAGAGCCAGCTGAAAACAATGTGTCCAATGATAAAGTTAAATAGCATTTGAATTATTGGCGGTTTTGCCTTCAATAAGAGTACTTATGGCCGAAGCACAAACAAAAAAGCAGGCTGATCCATGAATTTTAGTTTCCATCGACTCTAGTCACAAATTAGAGCTGTGTTGCTCAAGGACGTTTTACTGATCCGAGCACAGAAACTGATTAAAGGAACAAAAGGGGTATGGCTATCCCCAGAGTCCACCTAGGTCTGATGGGTATCAAGCTCATAGAAGGGAAAGTAAAAGTGGCCGGCATAGAGCTGATCACACGCCATACACTGAGGTTACAGAAACAGGTGAACTCATAGAAACCATACAAACACGCACACAGGCTGTGAACATTTGGCCTGACCCAGTTGCCCATATACCCCACCACAGCCAGAGGCATAGCGACCCATTCCGACGCACGGGGCGAACGATCAACTTTGAGCCCCCCTTTATATACTTATTCACATTGGCTAAAAGCCCCCCCCCCCCCTCTAAATCATTGTTCCTTAACGGTTTTTATGTTGGTGTCAAACAACTGACGTAGAAAACAGTGAAGTCCGTACCGTAAAGCTAAATAACAGTCTATTTATGTTTTCCCTACCCCTTAAGGTCGGCGTCTGGGGCGGCCGCCCCACCCATCCTCCCCTAGCTACGCCTCTGACCACATAACACTAATATAGTTTTACAGCTCTATTCTAGTAAATTTATACCAAAGTGGTGTTAAGTCGTTTGCATATCCAAGTACATGCCGATATCAAACATAATCTGAATTCTACTTTGTCTTCCAATAATAAAATAACAGACATTACATCCAACATCATGTTATTTTATACTGTGTAAAATGTATTTTACATGCTCAAATGATCAAATGTGATAGGTTTAATTGTGTTTTCTTCTAGACATTCATGCCACTGCATTCAACCAATCATATGATTTACTGGTTCAAAAGATTATAAAGTTTCAAGAGGAAGTAAGCTCAAATTGTTTTAAATTTACATGTTTGTGTGTGTTTCACTGATTTATAAAATGTGGACAGTCTCAATGATAATAACAATAGTTACTTTTCTAAAATATTGGTTTAAAAAAATACATAAATTTTAGATATAATTATAAAAATTGTCTAAATAATTATCATTACCCCCAGTTATGTACCTTGACTTTCCAAAATGTTAAAGAGAATTACCTGAGACTAAAAAAGGTTGGCGAAAGTGATTTTAACAGGTGAGTAAGCATATCTTATTTAGCATAAATATTAATTTTTTTAGTGAAAATGTATATTAAAATATTACAAAATGCTAGTTGAAGGTATTTTAAAAATATAACTGTGCTTGTTTTATCTTTATAAGTCTCTACTTGGATGTGTCCATGTGCTGCCTACTAATTAAACAGAAGCATCAATTTGAAATGCTAGCGTGTAGGATATCCCAGAGTCCACCCAGCTCAAATGAGTACCTGAATCATCTTTGGAAATTTAAGGCAACTGGGCATAAAACTGACTAGATTATTTCTTCTTATACATAGGTTGTGGAAACAGGTCAAATCTACTTTACTTGCTTATTAACCATCAGATCTAACACTATATATCTTTTTTAATCTATTTGAAATTGTATGTCTATGTTTTTTTTATTTATCTCCCAATACCTATATGCTTAATTCATGGTTTTCTCCTTCACTAGGGTGCCAAATATTATATCTTAGACATTATTTTATCTCATTTAACACATGTATTAATGATATTAAAAAAAATGTTTTAGATGGAAGACGTCAATTTGGTTGGCAAGTAGCCTGCTAATTTTTTGCTTCGTAATGGCTGTACACCTGTTATTAGAGTTTGAAACATGTAGGAAAAGATTAGATTGTTCAACTGTCACGATTTTCCAGTTTGTGAAATAGTAAGTGCAGTGCATGTACTTTCAATACAGAATAAAACAATAAATTGATAGTAAATATAGCCATATATCTAACTTTTACAATATTCTTAGCTAAACATACATTAGTTTTAGACACATAAATTATATCAAATACAACTCCTAGAGTTTGATTTTCTTTTGTTTTCAAAATTGTTATTTTTAATTGATTAAAAAAACACCAGTTTTAAAAAGTTATGTTATTTTTGTTCATTTAACAGATTTAACAAAAAAATTATATAAATTTATTTTTAGCATTCACTTTATAACCAAGATAATTGGATGTATTTTGCTGATCACTGCCATTGTTTTGAAGACAGTCTCATCATTGAAAATGGACTGTATAAGCAATGCTACTACAACCTTAAATGTTAATAATCAGGTAAATGCAATTTGGTTAAACTACAGACGTCAAAAATTTATTTTTCAATGGGCAATGATTTATTTTCAAATTGTAGCAGTTACAAATATATCATCCTTAGTTGTCACTTCAAATTATTGTAGAGCAAAATTTTACTAAACTTTATCAAAGTCAATTATCTTTTGAAGACGAACAATGCCAATAGCTACCTTAGACCAGCCTGGAAATCTTCACACATCTCTCAGAAAATTAAAAGTTTAAGTCTTTAACTTTAACCTGAATGCAATTCTACTTGAAGGAAGCATAAACAGCAACAAAATCAATCCAGATTTTTTAACAGGCACCTAAATAATATATTTGAAATACATTGTAATCGCAAAGTAGAAAACACAAGTGTTGGAAATGTGTGGACAGAGAAAAAGCAATCTAATTCAAGGAAGATTTTGGAAACATTTTGAGAACTGATTCGTATAAAATAGGGAAGCTACCCATGAAAACATAATGTAGCAGAGATGGATAAGCTTGAAAAGACAAGACCGAAATGAGAAAAATATGATGAAGATTAAGAATCATATATTGCACTTTTAGTAAAAGTAACTAAATGTTTTTATTTGATCAATTTGTACTATTAGTAATAATAAGTTAATAGTGTACAACATAATATAAAATCTTTTGCTCAAGCAACACAAAAATAAATTTACTAATTAAGCATCATTAGATTATATTACCAATTTATGGAGAGATAGATAATTCTGTTCTACATGAATACATATATATATATATATATCTATATATATATATATATATATGTATATATATATATATATGTATATATATATGTATATATGTATATATATATATATATATATATATATATATATATATATATATATATATATATATATATATATATATATATATATATATATATATATATATATATTGCCTATTTCTACTATCAGCTATTTAATCTCCAAAAATATGCTGTTTATTTTAACCATACTTTAAAGTATGTGTGTTGTGTTAAAGAAAATATACACACCAATATAAATCCATATTTCTTCTTTTAAAAGCCTAAATTGTTTAAAATTATTGACAAACTATTTCTTTATGGTTTAGAATGTTTCCGACACTTAACCACTAGACAAACCACATAAAATGACTATCTTAATAGAATCTGTACTTCATTTGCTGATAACACGGTTTACAAGGGCCATGCTGTACATTTGGATGGAAGTGGAAGTATGCTCTTCTTCAAGTACCTGTGTGCCATCATATCTGATGAGGAAACATAACTAGAAGCGTGACAAAAATTCTTCTCCTGGTACAAAAGTTAAACTCATGCAGTCATGAATCCAGGCCATGGAAGTGAGATGTTTAAGCAGACTTTTTATTATCCTATACATAAATCACATAACAATATGAGAGGTCACTGAAAGGATTGCTTAGGTCTTTGGTTTCAATGAGGACCTATTAAGAAATTGAGATGGTGGGGCATGTCCGACGAGCCAACAACCTATCAAAAACAAGAAACGCAGGGCACTGAGCCAGGAAGGAGAAGGCAAAGACAACATTGGATGGAAGACATCAATGAATGTGCTGGGCTCCCTGTTGGAGATCTACTTAGAGCAGCAGACTTGGAGAAAGTTGGCAGAAAATTATGAGAAAATCAACTGTGGTATCCAAAAGACCTTATGGTTTTAGGGATGACTGATTCATTGAACTTGGTTTACTTTAAATGTTGTTTAAATCGTAACCATTGTATGAACTAATGCCATGTTTTAAAACCAAATTGCTCAACTCATTTCAGGTCATTAACATTGATGTAATATCACCAGCATCAAAAATAGATAGCAGAGTGTTCGAGGATATTCCTTTTATCATATTGTAAGTAGAGATTGTAATGTGAAGTACAATTATTCAGGTCATACGTAAAATGATATTTAGTTAGGTTTTTGTTAAGTTCCTGCCTGTGGAGGAACTCGTCTTAATTTTATATTTTTAAATGAACCGCTTTTATAACTCTTGTCAATATCATTTTATTCAGTTTTTTACTTTTTTTTAGCATTCTTTTTTAATTTTCTTTATATTAAAAAATAAAAAAAAAGCATTTTTCCTACAGGGTTTTTAATAATAGCACATAGGCCTATATTTACATTTGATAAAAACATTAAGAAATAAACAAAAAAAAATATTTCTGCTAATTCTTTTTTTCAGACAATGTAGACTGAAAAAGATTTTTCCAGAGTTTCAAAATATGAAAATGGCATTTGACAAAAGCAAAAATAAAACAATGGAAACAATTTCTGATCAGTGTTTGGGAAAAATACACACCTTCATTAGAAGTAATCCAGCAAACTCATTAATCGTAAGTACAGAGAATTTCTAATAGATGTATTTGATCGTAATATTTTTATTACACCTAATTTTCTATATTACTACATAAAAGACATGACTCCCCTGGACATAAACCCCCACCCCCCAACATAAACCCCATGGATAATAAGATTTATATAAGGAAATAATAACGATGATGAGAACCAAAAAATAATTATTTAAATGAAATTAATGTAATTTTAAATGACTAACAAAAGAGTTTCTTCTTAAAAGCATGCTATTAGAAAGTCAAGGAGTGACCTTGGTTGTATTAAATCAAAGATAGGTCACCAACAACACCTTAGATATAGGTCATCCACATGTGGGAGCAGTGCGGATTTAAGTAACACATATTTAACAATGTAAAAGATGTGAGAGATTCACCGGCGGAAGCTTTGTTCATATCGACCTTGGCAGACAGAAGAATGGTATAAATATAACATCAAATTTATTTCTCCACAAATCTTATACATCTTGGAATGGAGTTTGTTTAATCTAATAAAGGCAATTTAAAAGTGATTTTTGAAGTCTAGGTTTACGTCAAGCAAAAAGATTTGGCAAACTGCGTTGTGTCATTTGAGTGTGCCAAAAAACGCAACAAGGCTGAATGCAAAGCAAAAATAAAGATTCATGGTGAACAGCTTGTTGGACGTTGTAATGAACATTCGCATGGACCAGATCCATCTCAACTTGAAGTGTGTAAAGTAGTGCAGCAGATGAAACAACTGGCAGAAGAAACTGAAACAACACCCCAGCAGATCATCACTCAGTCCATTACTACGTTTAGGGAGATGCAAAGGCCAAGCTGCCCTCGGTTCCACACATACGACGTAACATCAGGCGTCAAACATTAAAACACCCACTGTCTGGTCCAAGGAATGTTGCTGATATAATTATCCCTGATCAATATAAAATAACACAAGATGGACAACAATTTCTTCTGATCATTCTGGTGCCTAATCAAAAGATACGATGTTTTTGTTAGGAACGAAAGACAACCTTAGGTTATTGGAGGTTAATCAGCACTGGTTTATGGATGGTATATTCAAAACAACTCCTGCATTGTTTTCACAACTGTACACAGTCCATGCATTGGTCAATGGACGGACTTTACTTCAAAACAAAACACAGGAAACATAAACAGCACTCTTACAGCAACTAACGGTCTTGATACAAACCTGCAACCAATTTCTATTATGATTGACTTTGAAATGGCTATGATAAAAAGTGTTGAAAGGGTATTTCCAGAGTTTGAGGTAAAAGGATGCTTTTTCCATTTTAGCCAAAATATATACAGAAAAATACAGGACTCTGACCTTCAACAACGTTACCAAGTTGATAGTGAATTTGCTCTCAAGCTTAGAATGCTACCTGCGTTGGCTTTTGTGCCCACTGAACACATTAGTAATGCCTTTGATAAATTATCGGAAATTTTCCCCCAAGAAGCAAGGCCCATTGCACACTGTTTCGATGACTACTATATTGGCAGACCACAATGTCGAGGTCGGAGACAACCTATGTTTCCAATTGATATGTGGAACATGTACGCACATGCAGAAGACCATATGCCAAAAACAAACAACTCACTTTAAAGGCTGGCACAGAAGCTTCCATTCAAATATGGGATTTTGCCACCCAAATATTTGGAAATTCTTTGACTTTATTAAAAAGAAACAATCTTTCCAAGAGGTTTATTGTACACAGATAAATTCAGGTCACTGTTTACCAAAACAAAAAAAAATATATTAATAGCAGCGTTAGAATTTTCATTGTTGTTAAAATATTTTAAGAAGCTAACCATTATAGAGTATTTGCGAGGCATTGCTCACAATCTATCCTTTTAAAGTTATAATAAAACACTGGTATTTCTAATGTTTCTGTAACACTGCCTCAATAGGAATGCTTATTACACACTGAGGCGTTGTGTTTAAAAAGGCTGACCCTGCGAGATAGGCCTATAGCACACAATGGAACGACGCTTTTGTTGTCAAATACTGGATTTATTGACAATAACATCCAAGCCATAAACAGCGATATAGGACAGTAGAACAGTAGAGACGTAGAAAAAACTACAAAAACACTGTAGAAACCACATTAGAAAACAGCTGTAGCCCTAAAAACAAATGTAAACAATAGATTACATGACTGAAAATACTACCACGTGTAGGCTACACAAACTACACAAATACACTGGTGTAATAAAATAGGTTATGGCCAGTACACAATACTGCCAATAAGTACCAACAAGTATTGCAATGATAAATACTTAAATAAATACTTAACCTAACTAATGTGCAACATGCAGCACTAGCAGAAATACACAAATAAGTACTCTAAGATACTTCATACCTAGTCTGCAACATGCAGCACTAGTAGAAATAGTACAGTAATAAACATAATTTTCATTACTACATTACCTTCATTAGGTCTACATGATCTACTTATCATAGGCAACGGGACCCTCCGTGTCCACAGCAGCCTTGGGTCTGATTGACACGGCCACAGGCACGAACTACACATAATCCCATGTCACATGACACGGAATAGAAGTAAAAATCGCTCACAAAAAAGCATGAAAAAAACTATATCAACAGGTGCGGTCCCACAGGGGCCACAACCCAATAAATTATAACTTATAATTTATCTCTCTTGGCTGGTAACTAGGGAATGTGTTACATTTTTTTTTTTATTATTAATTTTGGTTCTCATCATCTTTGGTTTTTCCTTGTATAAACCTCAATGGGGGGGGGTATTGTCCAGGGGGGTTTATATCTCAGGTGGGGGGGGGGGGGGTTTGTCCAGGGTTTTTTGACAAGAAACCAAAAGACATTGTTTTAAGATTTGTAATCAAATTCATATTTAAAACAATTAGTTCTCATTTCTTATTAGCCAAACCTTACATTAATTTCTGGAGAGCTGGAAATTATGTTACTGGAAAGAAGAATAACTTCTAAAAATTTATTTGTAAGTATCTGTTAATAACCTAAAGAGTTATTTACTTTAAATGAACTATTGAAACCAGATTAAAGAAAAAAGTAACTGAAGCATTGTTTTACTCTTTTTATATACAGCAACATATTTCGGTAGTATGGGAATTGAGATCCAGAAAATATGAATATGTATATTTTTAATACGTATTACTCATTTTAATCGTTTTATTGTAGGTAAATTTCCAGAAATCTTTAACAGAAAGCAAATTATTCTTTTATACTTTGAATAAAGTAAGCATTCTTTTCTACATAAAATTGCTAAATTACGTTGAATTATTACATTTTATCATTTGTATCGATTTTTGTTTATTAAATGCAAAACATAATTTCTTGTTGTCTTACAAAACAGTATTTTTAATCTAATCATTTGGGTGAACATTGTTTTGTTTTTATAAGAAACGATAATTGTTAAGAACATATTTCATCAGTCGAGGTTTTATTCCATTATTAGTTGCATGCTTAACCAATCATCATCATATTTTCGTGCACTATTCCTAGATGCCTTTGTTTCACTAATGTGAGTCAAATACTTATCATTAAAGTTAACATTTTCTGAAACGTTCATGTTTTAGTTTGGATCCTAAAACTAAATTATGTCTTCTTTTAAGGCTGAAGAAGAATGTGTTTTTAGTAGAAATGTAAACACATGGGCAAATAATGTTAAAGCCACAGTAAGCACAGTAAGCTCAAAAGCAATATTTTATCAATTTAATTAGTTACAGTTTGTCAAGTACTTATAAATGGAATAACAAACAAAATTTCCTCTTGCATTTTCATGTTTTTTAATTTAGTTTTAGTTAAATCTGACATGTAAGATTAAAAACTGAGCTATTGATGTACTGATTTTAAAATATAAAAATTCTTTTATTTTGAACTTTTTTAGAAAAAAAAAGTAATATGTATGATACATTATTAAATAGTTAGATATATGTTAGATAGTGTAAATAATTTTCAACTATTAGATATTTTATGTATAAATTTAAGACTGTTGCCTTTTACTTGCTATATTTTACTAGTTATTTATATTAGTCTTCTAAGAGTAAGCAATGCCAATTTATTTAAATTTTTAATATTTAGATGATAAAAGAACTTCAGTTGATGACTAATACTAAAGCAACCATTCTGAATGGGGAGTTTGAAGATAAAGTAAGTTTTTAATGCATAGGCCTATATGTAATGCTCGTTGCAGTTTAAACACATACAAAAAATAAGTGTAATTTAAACATATTTGAACCGACTTTTTTTGACAATCGTTCACTTTGCAAAAAAAAAAAAATTACTATGTTGTGAGTAAAACAAATATTGTCATATATCACGTAAATCATTTGAAAAGTTGACCCTATAAGCATATATATGTGAACATAATAATAATTAACTGTAATATACTGTGATATGTCCCGTGACAAGTATATATTTTATAAGTGATACAGCACATATATTTTAGCAGCAGCTTCAGATTTATTTATGCCTCTACGGTCTTATTGGATGACGGACAAAAAATCCTTTAATATTGTGCTGTAATTTTGTTGTTACAGACTTGTCAGTACTTCAAAAAACTTTAATGTAAGAATAACAATAAGTGCTAAATAACCATGATGATTAAAGTAATAAAAACTTAAAGATTAATGATAATAAGATGAACAATATGAGCTCATGAGATCTTTTAAATATTTTAACGACAAAAACTTTTAAGAAAGAAAGAAAATAAAGTTCACTTTCTTTTTTCAGTATGTTTAAAACGTTTGTTATTATAGAGATTTTTTAAATTTAATTTTTTTCTCTATTTTTTTTTAATAATTTATGATTTATGAAGCCAACACATCAGACGCTAGCAATCTCTAAAAGAGGATTTTCTACTCATTAAAGCAGCCGCCGTGACCACAAATTACATAGCAAGCTGATTAAGCGGCCGCTACCTTAATTTAGCTACCTCCCCTTAGCTTAAAATGGTTTAAAAACTCAATTTCCTGCTCCTTATAACCCTTACTTATTTGACTCTACGATTGTAAACATTTGGCGTGAACCACAGCTCAGCAAACAAATCACTAGCATTTAATCATGTTATCTTCCCTTAGTTTTGAAACCTTATAATTATTTTTAATTGCTAATTAACACCTAAATAAATTTAAAAAATACATATCCTTGTATTGTGATTGAAGGGGAAGTGTCTCTTTTGTTTTATAATAGTTGCATAAATCCAAACTAAAAGAAAACGTTTTTAATAGTTAACTATATTTTATTTATAGGTTGCATATGGCACCTGCTCCACATCATTGTCATGTGGTGAAATTCTCCAGAACCTTGTATGAATTTCTTTCACAATTTAGTTTTACATTTTAGTTTTTCATTTCTTTTTCTTATAAAACTCTAAAATGCATTGATACTGTGGTGTTCGATATATTTTGACTAATATTTCAATTGAGCCAAGCATTATAAACATTATAAAATGCGTTTTTCATGTTTAATGCTGCATTTTCCATGGTTAAAACATTTTATTTCAGAAAAAGTGGGTGATTATTGGTAGCATCACGGAGGTTATGATAGTTTTGATTTGCGTGGTTCTCTTGAAGTACATGTACTTCATGAAAGGCAATAATATAAAGGTTTGTAATAAACATCCAATGTATTTTCATAATTAACAGTCTTCAATAAAAGTCATTCCATCCATTGGCTGAACTAGAAAAGAAGGGCCACCCCGCAAAGAAATTTTCTGGGCCCCATACATATATATATATATATACATATAAATATATATATATATATATATATATATATATATAAACAAAATACTATAATACGAACATAGAATAGGCCTACTCACTTCGGGCTTAATCGAGTTTCGAAAATTAAAAAATTAGAAATCCTGAGTTTTTTTTATTAAAACAAGTTACAACAGCACATCATTTGTGTGAGTGCTATAGGTCTGTTTTGAACATCTCTGTTTCAATATTATGGCTGCCATAATGCTTCCTATAAGCAAGTCGGTCAAAAGAATATGAAGCATGAAAGCTCTGTTAATGTAATGAATTTTTGCGTTATGTTAATTTTTATGTTTTTGTTTTGTATTTATGTTATTAGTTTTAAATACATTTCCTTAGTAGTTGGGGCATGAGTTTGTACACACTACCACAAACACGCCTCGTTTTTGGCTGATGGTGAAAGAAACACCCCTCGGTGACGGCCTTTGTGTCAGAGGCCTCACGGGGCTCTTGGGACATGGCCACCGTCTGAGGCCACTTATGCCCCTGTGCTTAGATAGCCACTGGGGATCTTGGGGTGCTCAGCTACACATTTTAAGCAAATGTTAGGTCTATGATTACTCAAAAACTACCCAAATTTTACGGAAGTTGGGATGGTCTCAACTTCTCTTCCTAAAGCTTATTGTGAAATACTCAAGGGAGAGAATTGTAAAACAAATAGAACTAAACGTACATAAAACCGAAATAGTAAAAATAGTAGTTCTACCAATACAACGAACAAACATTTAACATTATATATAATATAACAATGGATAATGGGCCCACAATCCAAGCTATAAAGAAGCAAAAGTCGTCTTAATATCTAACGGCCTGTCACGCGATTGACTTTGATTTATTTTCAAAAGAATTTTGCCTACAACAGTGTGTAATTGATAGTAGGAGAAAGAGGACGGGATGATGTCTATAGAATAAAGATAATCCAACCTCAGCTAGATTATTTTTTTTTACAAAACAACCATCAAATCTAAAATGCAAAATAGTTATTACTTTTAACTATACAAAAAATTGATTATGGTCGCCTGTGAACCCCTACAAGGCAGCAGTTGTTTGATTTTGGAGTTGTCTCTCCTAGAAGAAAGCTGTCCCCAACTAACAAGCCTCATCTGCCTGAGGGTTCGAACTCGAGACTTTTTCGGTTTTTTAGCAACCATAAGCTTTACCGACTCGATCACGCCGACCCCTTCTTATTAGAATAATTGTAACGTTTCTTAGATGTTCAAACAAACTGCCGACCCCTTGCCAACACAATTAAGTATGCATGTCAGCTGGTTATGCGCCATTGAGGCTATTGACTCCGATTTCAGCCCGCCTTTCTTTTTTTTATTTGCTTCTATTGCCCTTGTCCAATTAAGAACAAACTACAAGGCAGCAGTTGTTTGATTTTGGAGTTGTCTCTCCTAGAAGAAAGCTGTCCCCAACTAACAAGCCTCATCTGCCCGAGGGTTCGAACTCGAGACTTTTGCGGTTTTTAAGCAACTATGAGCTTTACCGACTCGATCACGCCGGTCTTATTAGAATAATTGTAACGTTTCTTAGGTGTTCAAACAAACTGCATTATTATTTCTTTTTTTTAAAAGCGTTCAATTGTAATAAAAAGAATAAATAGACAGATGAAATTAGTTTGAAATTTGAAAATCTAAATTTACTCAACTTTTACAATATTTCACTTTCTTAATTCATTTATTATGATCATTATGCTTAAAAGAGTATAATTAATGCGGTTTACGAAAACAAAAGTCTGTAGTAACGAGTCTATATTCACTTTTAAAAGCCCTACACAATCAAATCATGTCATAAAAGAAAACTATTGTAAAATTACATTATATGCTAACATGCTATACTTTTACAAATAATAATACTCTTAATAATTGTAAATTCCGTTACACTTGTCTCTTAGGATTTAGGAATTGATACTGTTGATGTCATTGAGGATCTTCCAGGTGTTCCCAAGGTGTCGGAGAGCACTGATTCAATCACTAAAGTTTGTATTATCTCATTAGAATTCTTCCTCTTCTTTGTTCTTAATTTTTACTGTTGGAAGGGATCAAACTCGAGACTTTTCGGTTTAGCAACCATGAGCTTTTACCGACACGACCACGCCGACCCCTTGCCAACACAATTAAGTATACATGTCAGCTGGTTATGCGCCATTGAGGCTATTGACTCCGATTTCAGCCCGCCTTTCTTTTTTTTATTTGCTTCTATTGCCCTTGTCCAATTAAGAACAAACTACAAGGCAGCAGTTGTTTGATTTTGGAGTTGTCTCTTCTAGAAGAAAGCTGTCCCCAACTAACAAGCCTCATCTGCCCGAGGGTTCGAACTCGAGACTTTTTCGGTTTTTTAGCAACCATAAGCTTTACCGACTCGATCACGCCGATCTTATTAGAATAATTGTAACGTTTCTTAGGTGTTCAAACAAACTGCATAATTATTTCTTTTTTTTAAAAGCGTTCAATTGTAATAAAAAGAATAAATAGACAAATGAAATTTGTTGGAAATTTGAAAATCTAAATTTACTCAACTTTTACAATATTTCACTTTCTTAATTCATTAATTATGTTCATTATGCGGTTTAAAAAAAAAAGTCTGTAGTAACGAGTCTATATTCACTTTTAAAAGCCCTACACAATCAAATCATGTCATAAAAGAAAACTATTGTAAAATTACATTATATGCTAACATGCTATACTTTTACAAATAATAATACTCTTAATAATTGTAAATTCCGTTACACTTGTCTCTTAGGATTTAGGAATTGATACTGTTGATGTCATTGAGGATCTTCCAGGTGTTCCCAAGGTGTCGGAGAGCACTGATTCAATCACTAAAGTTTGTATTATCTCATTAGAATTCTTCCTCTTCTTTGTTCTTAATTTTTACTGTTGGAAGGGATCAAACTCGAGACTTTTCGGTTTAGCAACCATGAGCTTTTACCGACACGACCACGCCGACCCCTTGCCAACACAATTAAGTATACATGTCAGCTGGTTATGCGCCATTGAGGCTATTGACTCCGATTTCAGCCCGCCTTTCTTTTTTTTATTTGCTTCTATTGCCCTTGTCCAATTAAGAACAAACTACAAGGCAGCAGTTGTTTGATTTTGGAGTTGTCTCTTCTAGAAGAAAGCTGTCCCCAACTAACAAGCCTCATCTGCCCGAGGGTTCGAACTCGAGACTTTTTCGGTTTTTTAGCAACCATAAGCTTTACCGACTCGATCACGCCGATCTTATTAGAATAATTGTAACGTTTCTTAGGTGTTCAAACAAACTGCATAATTATTTCTTTTTTTTAAAAGCGTTCAATTGTAATAAAAAGAATAAATAGACAAATGAAATTTGTTGGAAATTTGAAAATCTAAATTTACTCAACTTTTACAATATTTCACTTTCTTAATTCATTAATTATGTTCATTATGCGGTTTAAAAAAAAAGTCTGTAGTAACGAGTCTATATTCACTTTTAAAAGCCCTACACAATCAAATCATGTCATAAAAGAAAACTATTGTAAAATTACATTATATGCTAACATGCTATACTTTTACAAATAATAATACTCTTAATAATTGTAAATTCCGTTACACTTGTCTCTTAGGATTTAGGAATTGATACTGTTGATGTCATTGAGGATCTTCCAGGTGTTCCCAAGGTGTCGGAGAGCACTGATTCAATCACTAAAGTTTGTATTATCTCATTAGAATTCTTCCTCTTCTTTGTTCTTAATTTTTACTGTTGGAAGGGATCAAACTCGAGACTTTTCGGTTTAGCAACCATGAGCTTTTACCGACACGACCACGCCGACCCCTTGCCAACACAATTAAGTATACATGTCAGCTGGTTATGCCCCATTGAGGCTATTGACTCCGATTTCAGCCCGCCTTTCTTTTTTTTATTTGCTTCTATTGCCCTTGTCCAATTAAGAACAAACTACAAGGCAGCAGTTGTTTGATTTTGGAGTTGTCTCTTCTAGAAGAAAGCTGTCCCCAACTAACAAGCCTCATCTGCCCGAGGGTTCGAACTCGAGACTTTTTCGGTTTTTTAGCAACCATAAGCTTTACCGACTCGATCACGCCGATCTTATTAGAGTAATTGTAACGTTTCTTAGGTGTTCAAACAAACTGCATAATTATTTCTTTTTTTTAAAAGCGTTCAATTGTAATAAAAAGAATAAATAGACAAATGAAATTTGTTGGAAATTTGAAAATCTAAATTTACTCAACTTTTACAATATTTCACTTTCTTAATTCATTAATTATGTTCATTATGCGGTTTAAAAAAAAAAGGCTGTAGTAACGAGTCTATATTCACTTTTAAAAGCCCTACACAATCAAATCATGTCATAAAAGAAAACTATTGTAAAATTACATTATATGCTAACATGCTATACTTTTACAAATAATAATACTCTTAATAATTGTAAATTCCGTTACACTTGTCTCTTAGGATTTAGGAATTGATACTGTTGATGTCATTGAGGATCTTCCAGGTGTTCCCAAGGTGTCGGAGAGCACTGATTCAATCACTAAAGTTTGTATTATCTCATTAGAATTCTTCCTCTTCTTTGTTCTTAATTTTTACTGTTGGAAGGGATCAAACTCGAGACTTTTCGGTTTAGCAACCATGAGCTTTTACCGACACGACCACGCCGACCCCTTGCCAACACAATTAAGTATACATGTCAGCTGGTTATGCCCCATTGAGGCTATTGACTCCGATTTCAGCCCGCCTTTCTTTTTTTTATTTGCTTCTATTGCCCTTGTCCAATTAAGAACAAACTACAAGGCAGCAGTTGTTTGATTTTGGAGTTGTCTCTCCTAGAAGAAAGCTGTCCCCAACTAACAAGCCTCATCTGCCCGAGGGTTCGAACTCTAGACTTTTTCGGTTTTTAAGAAACCATGAGCTTTACCGACTCGATCACGCCGATCTTATTAGAATAATTGTAACGTTTTTTAGGTGTTCAAACAAACTGCATAATTATTTCTTTTTTTTTTGAAAGCGTTCAATTGTAATAAAAAGAATAAATAGACAAATGAAATTTGTTTGAAATTTGAAAATCTAAATTTACTCAACTTTTACAATATTTCACTTTCTTAATTCATTAATTATGATCATTATGCTTAAAAGAGTATAATTAATGCGGTTTACGAAAACAAAAGTCTGTAGTAACGAGTCTATATTCACTTTTAAAAGCCCTACACAATCAAATCATGTCAAAAAAGAAAACTATTGTAAAATTGCATTATATGCTAACATGCTATACTTTTACAAATAATAATACTCTTAATAATTGTAAATTCCATTACACTTGTCTCTTAGGATTTAGGAATTGATACTGTTGATGTCATTGAGGATCTTCCAGGTGTTCCCAAGGTGTCGGAGAGCACTGATTCAATCACTAAAGTTTGTATTATCTCATTAGAATTCTTCCTCTTCTTTGTTCTTAATTTTTACTGTTGGAAGGGATCGAACTCGAGACTTTTCGGTTTAGCAACCATGAGCTTTTACCGACACGACCACGCCGACCCCTTGCCAACACAATTAAGTATACGTGTCAGCTGGTTATGCGCCATTGAGGCTATTGACTCCGATTTCAGCCCGCCTTTCTTTTTTTTATTTGCTTCTATTGCCCTTGTCCAATTAAGAACAAACTACAAGGCAGCAGTTGTTTGATTTTGGCGTTGTCTCTCCTAGAAGAAAGCTGTCCCCAGCTAACAAGCCTCATCTGCCCGAGGGTTCGAACACGAGACTTTTTTGGTTTTTTAGCAACCATGAGCTTTACCGACTCGATCACGCCGACCCCTTCTTATTAGAATAATTGTAACGTTTCTTAGATGTTCAAACAAACTGCATAATTATTTTTTTTTTTTAAAAGCATTCAATTGTAATAAAAAGAATAAATAGACAAATGAAATTTGTTTGAAATTTGAAAATCTAAATTTACTCAACTTTTACAATATTTCACTTTCTTAATTCATTTATTATGATCATTATGCTTAAAAGAGTATAATTAATGCGGTTTACGAAAAAAAAGTCTGTAATAACGAGTCTATATTCACTTTTAAAAGCCCTACACAATCAAATCATGTCATAAAAGAAAACTATTGTAAAATTACATTATATGCTAACATGCTATACTTTTACAAATAATAATACTCTTAATAATTGTAAATTCCGTTACACTTATCTCTTAGGATTTAGGAATTGATACTGTTGATGTCATTGAGGATCTTCCAGGTGTTCCCAAGGTGTCGGAGAGCACTGATTCAAACCCTAAAGTTTGTATTTTGTTAAAACGATAATTATTTCTTTTTATAAGCGTTGACATTTATAAATGACAAAAATAGAAAATTGAAATAAGTTTGAAACTGTTTTATCTAAATTCAGTCATGTTTTACTATAGTCTTTTTTTTTTAATTTATTAACTATGGTCTTCATGCTTTAAAGATTTTAGAATTTTTGTTGTCTTCAATAAATGCACTTGTCATAAAGCGTTCATGTGTAATTATCAGCAGAAAATGACGAATGAAATATTTTTACAAAAAATTTCTACTTTAAAATTGCTACTCTACAGTTTTTTTTACCATGCTGGAATGATACTCAGCTAAAAACTGCGCTAGAAAATTTCGCAACTGGCATTTTGTTTCCTCAAATCCATCATTTATTCCACGATTAAAATGTCTCAGCATAGTTAGTTTGTATTTGCTCATTGCGCATTTTTCTCTGAACCCTTTTAATATTAATCTAATTTTTGTAGGAGTCCTCTTTTTCTTTCTCTTTTGTAGCAGTTACGAAAGTTGTTGGAAAGTGACCTGCTATAAGTCATGACAAGACTAGGTCACATGCAATCAAAGCTTTTGTTGCTTCTTGAGAGTATCCTAATACTCATCGAGGACTTTTTGTCGAGACTGTCATTCTATCGTGACTTGCTTAAACCTAGAACTTAGAATGTTTACCCTCTTTTTTCTGTGCGACCTGCGCTGATGTGTTATTTTCGTGTATGGTTCTTACATTCCAACTAATGTGGTTTTAGTCTTAGGCTTTAGGAGATTTGTAAACAGGTTAAATTCCTTGAGGCGTTTGCTGGTATTCATCATGGGCTATTATAAAGTGGGGCCCCTTAGACCAAGCTGGGTTGGTGTATTTGCAGTTTCTGTAGTTCTACCCTCCTCATTTCTCAACTGGGCTTGGGATCGACTTAGGTAGAATTCTTTGCCTTTTGTGTTGACGGCATATATCATTAGGTCAAAGTCCATTTCACTTTTATTTAGGTGAGCTAATAAGGCTTTTATTAGTGTTAACCATAATTATTATAATGTGTACACTTTGATTCGATGAAAGAAAACTTTATTTGTTAATCTCCAGTCACCAAAACAACCCAAGATACCGAAGAAAAATGGGTCTACTAAGGCCTGGAATCCATCCATTATCATCAGCTACAATGATGAATCATTGTATAAAGTAAATAATTTCTTCGCAACCTAGTTCTTCGCATAGATGTTTTTTTTTAAACTTACAATATCATAAAGCAAGTCTTTTACTATATAAAACAGTTTATATTGTATTAGGTTTACATCATATATATATATATATATATATATATATATATATATGTTTGAAATGACTGAGGTGAAGTGCTCATAAATACAGGCATGCGGCTTAAACAATTCATTAGTAACAAGAATAACTGTATCAGTACGGTATTAACAAATTCCGATATAGAAATAAAAATATGGTTAGTTTGGGTTTTTAATAGAAAGTAAACGCACAATAAAACATCCAAAATCGGATTTTCGACTTAAGCTATTTCAAGACAATGTTATTTGTCAGAGCAAAATATAGGCATTTAAAACAAAAAAATTTCGACAAAAATAATAATTTTATAACAGTCACACGAAAATTGAAAGAGAAGGGTAGAAATATGTTATAGCAGCAAAGAATCTATTTCCTCAAAAGCTTAATTACTTAGTGAATTAAATATATGTTATAGCTTTCTTATGTAAAATTTGAAAAGAAAATACTTTTTTTTTTCAACAGTCGGTACAGAAATGAAAAAAAGTGAACTTAAAAGACCACGAAATTTATCACCAAGATAATTGTTTCGACATGAATTTGACACAGACCCCATTCAACTCTCAGGCCAATTTGGGCAAATATCTCTGTTGCCGCCACAGTAGAATCGCATATAAGTAATATGAGAAATGTAACACACAGAATGTGAAACTGATCAAAGTTATGGTTGGTCAGATCTGCTGGAGGTTTTTTGTTTCTTTCTTCATTTATAGCTTTTATTTTTTTCATTAGCACATCTCAAAATTAAATACCATTTTTTATTTTATTAATATGATTTATTAAATGATTTAAAATTAAAAAAAAAATAGTTAACAGGCATCGAAGTTATTGCATTTTTGTTCAAATATGACAGTATACAGTTTTTTTTGGTTCTAAATGTGTAATATTTTTTAACTCTTCAAGTTTAATCAAAACATTTTTGTTAGTTTAAAAATTTTGCAAAAAATCGTAAGGATGGTCAAATTATACTTTAGAATCACAATGAATGTTTATACATCATTGTATAATCATGATTTGTCTTCCTGAATAGTAATTGTTGATTAACTCTTTCTATACCAGAGGGGTCTCTACCTATTGAACTTAATATTTTAATGACCCAATTTGTTTTACACAGCCCTCACTTAATTAAACAATAAAGCTCCTTTGTTTTTGCAACTATATGCATGAATTATACATCCAAAGGAACACAAATACATTTTCTACAAGATTATATGAAGATAATTGCAAGTTATATTAAAGAAAGTAGGTTTTTTACATGTTAAAATGATTTGTTAGTGTAACAACAGATAAAAAAAGAAATGTCAACCTTACATAACCACAGTTCATCAACCACTTTTACTAAATATCCATATATATACAACACATCCAAATATGAAAGAAAACACTTGTAAAATAAAAAAGTTATGCACACTAAACTAAAAAGATTGAAAAGTTGAAAACAGGACATATTTTTTACAACTTTTAGCATACTAAGATTTATAGTTACTCTTAGAAAGCCAAATTCTAAAACAGGGCTCCTTACATAAAAAAGATTGACCAGGACAATCTGCATATATATATATATATATATATATATATATATATATATATATATATATATATATATATATACATATATATATATATATATATATATATATATTTACGGTTCTTTTGCGAGCACCTAGTTTACTACAGACTTGACAATTATGGTCTTTATTGAACGACTTAGGGAAATGTATTTTAGCGGCTATCCAAATGGTTGGATTGTCTGTTAATGTATTTTAGTGGCTAGCTGAATGGTTGGATTGTCTGTTAATGTATTTTAGTGGCTAGCTAAATGGTTGGATTGTCTGTTAATGTATTTTAGTGGCTAGCTGAATGGTTGGATTGTCTGTTAATGTATTTTAGTGGCTAGCTGAATGATTGGATTGTCTGTTAATGTATTTTAGTGGCTAGCCGAATGGTTGGATTGTTTGTTAATGTATTTTAGCTGCTAGCCGAATGGTTGGATTGTCTGTTAATGTATTTTAGTGGCTAGCTGAATGGTTGGATTGTCTGTTAATGTATTTTAGTGGCTAGCTGAATGGTTGGATTGTCTGTTAATGTATTTGAGCTGCTAGCCGAATGGTTGGATTGTCTGTTAATGTATTTTAGCTGCTAGCTGAATGGTTGGATTGTCTGTTAATATATTTTAGTGGCTAGCTGAATGGTTGGATTGTCTGTTAATGTATTTTAGTGGCTAGCCGAATGGTTGGATTGTCTGTTAATGTATTTTAGCGGCTAGCCGAATGGTTGGATTGTCCGTTAATGTATTTTAGCTGCTAGCCAAATGTTTGGATTGTCTGTTAATGTATTTTAGCGGCTAGCCGAATGGTTGGATTGTCCGTTAATGTATTTTAGCTGCTAGCCAAATGTTTGGATTGTCTGTTAATGTATTTTAGTGGCTAGCTGAATGGTTGGATTGTCTGTTAATGTATTTTAGTGGCTAGCTGAATGGTTGGATTGTCTGTTAATGTATTTTAGGGGCTAGCCGAATGGTTGGATTGCCTGTTAATGTATTTTAGCTGCTAGCCGAATGGTTGGATTGCCTGTTAATGTATTTTAGCTGCTAGCCGAATGGTTGGATTGTCTGTTTATGTATTTTAGTGGCTAGCTGAATGGTTGGATTGTCTGTTAATGTATTTTAGCTGCTCACCGAATGGTTGGATTGTCTGTTAATGTATTTTAGGGGCTAGCCGAATGGTTGGATTGCCTGTTAATGTATTTTAGCTGCTAGCCGAATGGTTGGATTGCCTGTTAATGTATTTTAGCTGCTAGCCGAATGGTTGGATTGTCTGTTTATGTATTTTAGTGGCTAGCTGAATGGTTGGATTGTCTGTTAATGTATTTTAGCTGCTCGCCGAATGGTTGGATTGTCTGTTAATGTATTTTAGCTGCTAGCCGAATGGTTGGATTGTCTGTTAATGTATTTTAGTGGCTAGCTGAATGGTTGGATTGTCTGTTAATGTATTTTAGCTGCTAGCCGAATGGTTGGATTGTCTGTTAATGTATTGTAGTGGCTAGCCGAATGGTTGGATTGTCTGTTAATGTATTTTAGTGGCTAGCCGAATGGTTGGATTGTCTGTTAATGTATTTTAGTGGCTAGCTGAATGGTTGGATTGTCTGTTAATGTATTTTAGTGGCTAGCCGAATGGTTGGATGGTCTGTTAATGTATTTTAGTGGATAGCCCAATGATTGGATTGTCTGTTAATGTATTTTAGCTGCTAGCCGAATGGTTGGATTGTCTGTTAATGTATTTTAGTGGCTAGCTGAATGGTTGGATTGTCTGTTAATGTATTTTAGCTGCTCGCCGAATGGTTGGATTGTCTGTTAATGTTTTTTAGTGGCTAGCTGAATGGTTGGATTGTCTGTTAATGTATTTTAGCTGCTAGCCGAATAGTTGGATTGTCTGTTAATGTATTTTAGTGGCTAGCTGAATGGTTGGGATTGTCTGTTAATGTATTTTAGCTGCTCACCGAATGGTTGGATTGTCTGTTAATGTATTTTAGGGGCTAGCCGAATGGTTGGATTGCCTGTTAATGTATTTTAGCTGCTAGCCGAATGGTTGGATTGCCTGTTAATGTATTTTAGCTGCTAGCCGAATGGTTGGATTGTCTGTTTATGTATTTTAGTGGCTAGCTGAATGGTTGGATTGTCTGTTAATGTATTTTAGCTGCTCGCCGAATGGTTGGATTATCTGTTAATGTATTTTAGCTGCTAGCCGAATGGTTGGATTGTCTGTTAATGTATTTTAGTGGCTAGCTGAATGGTTGGATTGTCTGTTAATGTATTTTAGCTGCTAGCCGAATGGTTGGATTGTCTGTTAATGTATTGTAGTGGCTAGCCGAATGGTTGGATTGTCTGTTAATGTATTTTAGTGGCTAGCCGAATGGTTGGATTGTCTGTTAATGTATTTTAGTGGCTAGCTGAATGGTTGGATTGTCTGTTAATGTATTTTAGTGGCTAGCCGAATGGTTGGATGGTCTGTTAATGTATTTTAGTGGATAGCCCAATGATTGGATTGTCTGTTAATGTATTTTAGCTGCTAGCCGAATGGTTGGATTGTCTGTTAATGTATTTTAGTGGCTTGCCGAATGGTTGGATTGTCTGTTAATGTATTTTAGCGGCTAGCCGAATGGTTGGATTGTCCGTTAATGTATTTTAGCTGCTCACCGAATGGTTGGATTGTCTGTTAATGTATTTTAGGGGCTAGCCGAATGGTTGGAT